ATCTCCTAAATAGCTTTCTTAAAATGTGTGTCACAGCAGTATAAGTTTTTCCTTGTCTTCTCTTTTCATGCTGCATTCAAATGTTAGCTAAAATTTTATCGGGCCTGCTTTTAAAGATCTTTTCCAGTGACATCTAGAGGTCTGGCTAGCTAAAAGAATTGAAGCATTCTTCATCATGGGACACAATGCGTGGGCTTCTGGAATAGCTGACTAATCTTTGAATGATGAGATGTTTTTTCCCCCCTCATTCCTAGTTTCTCACATGGTGATAGAGGAAGTTAATTTTATGCAGAACCATCTTGAAATAGAGAAGACTTGTCGAGAAAGCGCGGAAGCTTTGGCAACAAAGGTAAGAGACGGTTCAAATGCAGGAGCTCTTTCTTCCTCTTGTGCTTTCTCAGTTCAGCCTGGTTTTCCATCTAGTGGCTTCTGCCCTTTTATTTGTGCTTTTCTGTCTAATCAGTTTCCTGCGGAAGAAAGTGTTGTAAGGTGTTGGAATCCTGGAGTATGATTCTGTAAATATCTGCCTGCATGCAAGGGGTATTTGATTCTGCAAAGAGCTTGTGTGCTTGTTTGTATTTATGCCCACGTAGCAAAGTGGTTTCAAATCGGGCTGCTAACCTTAAGGTCGGCAGTGTGAAACTACCAGCTTTTCCGTGGGAGAAAGATGAGGCTTTCTGCTCCCGTCAAGATTTGCAGCCTTGGAAACCTTGTGCAGGGTCACTATGAGTGGGAACTGACTCCATGGTACTTAACAACAACAACAAATGACTTTTTTGAATAGGAAAAAGTCCCAGGGGGCTTTGCTCAACTGAACTTTCCAAAAGCATCTATCTGTACATTTAGTTGAAATGATGGTAAGCAAGTCTCAGCCTAACCTGGTGTGACAGAAAACAGTAACGAGTGCTTCATGTTTGAATCAGATGGAAAAGTCGTGTGAAGCCGTGCCTTTCAGGTGGTTATTTGTGAAAGCAAAGCGAGGGCATGCTAAAGGTGACCTCTGGTTGCTCCACTGATTGCTTCTAGCTGATGGGTTTACCAAGTGTGTAATTTTCTATATTCTGTCTCATCAGAAGTACATTATTATTAAAGAATGTGTTTATCTCTGTCTTATGTATTTTGGGTTGGGTAAAATGCATCTGAACCACTTCATCAGAAAACGGATTACAGTAATTTTCCACCAAATTTCATTAGTAATGCTGGTTGTGTTTCTTCTCCCATCTCCCCCTTCCAAAGTCTTTCTGTGAATGTGACTGAAGGTCTCCTACGCAGAAAGAAATAAACAAACGGACTCCCTTTTTGTTACATTCCCAAGTTTTCTTGATGGAGGTATTTGCCTCATTGTTTGCAATAAGGACACAACAACATTACAGTTCATGAGCTGTTCAGTCAGAACCTAATTAAGTAAAGAAGTGTGTATATATGTAACTTCTGCTCCTTGTCTGAAGTTCTTTTGTTTAAGTGCCGTCTAGTCAGTTCCAACAAACGCATAGCGACCCTGTATAGGGTTTCCCAGGAACGACTAGTGAGTTTGAACCACGACCTTGCAGTTCAAACTGACCTTGAGGTCAAGTGCTTATCCTAGAAAGCCATGGCTTTCCAAACAAGGCTGGTGTGGGAGTTCAGTGGTCCACGGTACTATGTGGATTCTCTTTGGTTTCCTTCATGTCTTCTTTTGCAATAAGTAGAGAATGATGTACTTAGAGCATATAAACTGCTAAGGATAGTCTCTGGCTGTGTTTTCTTCTATTATTAAATTTGCAATGGTAGAGAAGGGGGTCTTCCTGCACTTTTAAACTTGCAGCTTGCTTTTCTGTATAGAACTCTGACCCCTCCTCAGGACTGGCACGAGTGTTTGAAAAGAGCAGTGGTTTGGGAGGCGGTATGTACAGGTTTTGTCATTGTGGACACATGTAACTTTGGGCAGTTTGCTTCCTCTTTCTGAGCTGCTGCTGTCTTCTATTAAATGACCTGATGGACCAGCGTTAGGAATGGGGTGAGAGCAGGGTGCACTCTTCTTGTTTCATCGTTGGTCCATAAATGACCCCCTTTTAAGAACTATTTTTAGTCTCCTTTCTCTTTTTAAAATAACAGGTGGCTTCGTGCAAGACAATTCTTGGCCATAATTGTCTTGTTCTAAATGTCAGTATGGACTTAGAGTGTAGTCTTAAGAATACCCCAGACCCACTCTTTGTTAGGATTGTGCCCCAGAAGTGAGTATGTTGAAAAAGTTTCTGGTGACTATTATGTTCATTCCTGGTTATGAACCACTAAAGCTATTTTAGTAATTTAATCTTTACCATAGAATCCTCTAAAATACGGCTTGTCACCTATTACTTAAGGTGCCTTTTTGAAAATGGACACATAGGGTGCTTTTGAGAACATAATCTGGACTCTGGGGCCCTGGACTAAAAGCCAACCTACCAAACCTACTTATTCAAATACTATAGGTTTTCTTATTGGATGTGGAAGGAACTACAGCTTTGAAAGGAAAATTTGGGCACCTCATTATACATGTGATCAATAAATGTCCTGATTTAGGTATCAGTTGTCATTTTAAGGTAAGCTCCATTTTCTGAGCAGCGAAAATTCCATGAATTCTTTTATTTATAAATCTTTGCCATCAAATTAATGATGAATACCAAGTTTAATTCTTATGACTCAGTTTGACCTTACAATTTAAACAAAGGGGGGCAGGATACTTGGCCTTACTAAACTGTACAGATTAAACTAATATACGTAGACCAACTATTTAAGTCCTGTGGTCTAAAACCGTTTAACATGTTCATGTTGTTTCTTTCAATCTTCATTACAATGTACCCAATAAAAACAAACAAACAAACACAACAACTGTAATTTATATTTGAATCTGGTGGAAGGTACAATGACTATGGGGTCATAAAAGATTTATTTTTGCCCTGTGACTAAAGATAGATGAATTCCAAAAATAAGTAATATACTATTAACCTATGACTCAATAAAAGTGTGTTGTTGTTAAGTGCTGTCGAGTCGAATCAGTTATGAGTCATAGTAACCCTGTATGGAGTTTCTGAGGAGAGGCTGGTGGATTTGAACTGCTGACCTTGTGGTTAGTCCATTGCTTATCCTGCAGTGCCTCAGCAGGACTTCCAGTGAAACATAACTACTATGAAATTGCTTAGCCAAAATTTTTGAGTTCATAGTCCTCAAAAATACTCAGTATGTACGCAAATTCTCATGTAGAGATATGTTCGATTTTTTTCTTTCAAAATATGAAAATCGTGTTTAGAGAAGATTCAGGAAAATTTCTGGCTGACTTTTGCTTGAACTAATTACTTTGTTAAACAGAGTAGTCATGATACAGAGTCTCCCGGTGGTGGGAATGGCTGCTGAAAGATTAGAAGATCCAGTTCATCCAGAGACAGCTCAGAAAAAAGTTCTGGCAACCTATTTCCAAAAGAATCAACTGTTGAATACCCTGTGGAGTGCAGTTCTGATCCACATGGAGTTGGCATGAGTGGAGGTCGACTTATTGACAGCTGACTTGTAGCCAGACAGCAGCTAGTAGATTTTGGTACCTGGTTTGATCGAGGCATCAAACATCTTCTGAAGACAGAACCGTTACCTCCACGTAGTCCTCACTCACTAGCTCTCTCGACTTTTCACAGTGTGACAATATTAAAAAATCTACTTTCCAACTATTTTTCACATTAACAATGCATGTCTGGCAGTGACAAATGCCAGGGTGCGAGGCAAGAGTAACAGTGGCTGTGATGGGTAAGGTTACATGTCAGTTTGGCTGAGCCGTGATCCCAGGTGGTTTAGTTAGTTATGTCATGTTGTGATTGGACAGTTACATAGTGATGTAGTCATTCTCCGTCTTCTGATTTGATATGGTCATTCATTTTCAGATAATGCTTACTTCTGCAAAACGACCTCATCTTTGAAATCTCATCATGTTACTAAGTGAGGAACAGGCATTTTTGGTTCTCCAGTATTCTTGTGATGGTATTCTGGGAAGTGAAGATGTTAAGCATCAGATGGCGAAAGTGAATAGTTGTACTTTTTTTCATGAGTATCTTGAAGGCAGTAAAAATGCAGAGAGGAACGCATGGGACTTTAAAACATTCATGGAGAAATGGAATGAAAAGATTGTGGAATTTGCTATGAATTGTTTTGAAGCCCCCTTATAACCTTGGTTGGCAAAAACTAGCTGATTTACAAAAGAAAGTAAGACACAAAAATGAAACCTCTTGTTACTATTAATAGCTTTACTTAGAGAATTCTCACTAAGGTTAGTGTATTTAGTACTATATATGCGGTATCTCATTTGATCTTCATAGTGCCCTATGGATTGAGACTATTTTAATCTCTATAGTTTGTTGATGAGAAAAGTTTATCCCTGGAAGGTTTAATTCTAGAGGAAGAGACTTAATATTGTGTAGCCCTACATCAGTGACTCTTTGTCTTGACATACATATCCAGGAAAGGTGCCCTGGTTTGAGAGGTGACGAGAAGACTCCTCATTCCTCCAGTACTACACTGCAACAGTCATGGTTTCAGACAACCACAACCGTGCTTACTTGACTTTTCCATTGGAAGGAAGAGGACTAGGGGGCAATCATGGATCTCATTGATTGTCCTTGACTCTCCTAATGGGATTTGAGGAGCTAGAAACTGGGTGCACAATGAGGGACACAGGGTAAAGGCTATGTCTGAGTCTCTGGATAGCGTTCCCCAGGTTCCTCAGGAAGAATCCAAGGTTCTTAGCCATTTCCAGCTTGTGTGTTGCTGTGATGCTGAAAGCTATGCCACTGGTATTTTAAATACCAGCAGGGTCACCCGTGGTGGACAGATTTCATTGGAACTTCCAGACTAAGACAGATGTGGAAGAAGGAGAGGTGGGCCACTGCTGAATGGCTGACCACTGAAAATCTTATGTTAGCAGGAGAATTCCCTGTAGATGCCAGTGGACTGTCTTATGTTTCAGACCCTGCCCTGGGGAAAGCTGCACCCTATGCAAGGCAGAAACCTATCAGTATTTTTCCACTAAAATGAGTGATAGAAAAAGGTAGTAAGTAAGACTCAAAGGTGGAAAATGTGCGAGAGACTTAGGAAAACAGGACTGTTCTGTCAAGGTTCAGCACTCACAAGTTTCACTGGATTTAGGGTCCATTTTATTGAGGTCAGAATCAGATCACCCAGATTGAAGTGGGCTGGGCTCTCTCTGTGCGAAACCCCAAGGTTCCATATGAGCTCATGTGAAGGGCCTAAGGCAAGAGAAGTACCTCACGTGTCATTCTGGTGTAAGATCTAAACTTGCAAAGTTTAGTTTTCCAGTGACTTATGTTTCTGAAGACTGTTAATGACTAGGAATGAATTGAAATTTGTTTTAATCTATACTAGTATGGTTGACTCCTTGGAAAACCTATGTAGCATCGATAAGGGTTGGAACTGACTCAATGGCACTTAACAACAACAAAATATGTCCTATCAGTTATAATTGGCGTTTCCACAGGCTGCTGACTGCCATCCAGGTATCAGGTCTTAGTTAAAACATTATGTTTGAGAGTACAAAGTGTAACTAGAACCTTATTTGATGGTAGTTGCTCGTTGTCATTTCCTGCTGTGAATGTTGATGGATGTGTCAGACAAGAAATCCAAATAGCTTATCTATTGTTTTAAAACCCAAGACACTCATTTGCTGTTAAAATAACCGCTTTTCGATTTTGTATTAGCTAAATAAAGAAAATAAAACACTGAAGAGAATCAGCATGCTATGCATGGCAAAGCTGGGACCGGATGTGATAACTGAAGAGATCAACATCGATGGTGACGATTCGGCTGCGGACACAGAAGGTGCCGGAGAGACGTGTGTCTCAGTGCAGTGTCAGAAGCAAATCAAAGGTGGGACACACAGCTTAGTCATTGAGCATAGTTTTGGCTCCCATGAGGACAATGCTTCTTAACTTTGTACATCGGAATCAATGTGGGAACTTTAAAAGATAGTTGGTCTAACCCCGTCTTCCCCACCAGGAATTGTGATTTAATTATAAGCCCAGGAAGTCGCTTGGTTGCGAATCATCATGGTAGGATATAGCAACTGTGCTTTATACTTTCTTGTTTGGATTTAGACACTTTTGAAAACTTTGTGTTGATAGCAATAGCTGGTTAGACTATACATTTGTTACGAATATAGACTCTGTGTTGAGATACCTTTGTTAAAAGAAAGCACGAGTGAATAAAAATATCCTTAACTGAGCACCTCCTGTGGGTCTGGTTCGCTGTTGGAATCTTTGAGGAAGATTCCTTCCCAGTTTGCGTAGTCTCTGCTCTCAAACGGTTTCCCATCTGATTCAGGCAGTGGGCTATACTGACTGTGCTATATCAACATCTGGCTGGGTCATTGAGGAGTGCTGTAAGGCAAGATCATGTGATGTAGTTGGCGGTTCTGTGCCGTGGAGTTGGTTCCGACTCATCGTGACCCTGTATACGGTTTTCCGAGGCTAGAAATCTTTACGGGAGCAGACAGCCTCATCTGTCTCCTGTGGAAACACTGGTAGTTTTGAGCCGCTGACCTTGAGGCTAGCAGCCTGAGTCATAAGCACTATGCTACCAGAGCTCCTGAAGATCATGTGATCTATCTATTTAATATTCATGGGTCTTATTCACAGAGCCCTGGTGGTGCTGTTGGGTAGGCATTGGATTTAGGCAGGGTCAGTGGTTCAAACCCACCAGCCACTCCAAGGGAGAAAGATGAGACTGTCTGCTCCCATAAAGATTTACAGTTTTAGCCTTGAAAACCCTATAGATAGGGTTGCTATGAGTTGGAATCAACTCAGTGGGAGTGGGTGGGTGGTCTTATTCATGTGTGTTTAACATAAACACGTTGTTCATGTTAAATGTGTAGGAAAGCTGGTTTGGACCCCATAACTATTGGAACAGTTTAGCTTCGTGCCTATGTCAAAGGGAGTGCACCTTGTTTGATAGATACTTTCCATTCAAAGTATAAATGGGGAAGGATGTTGCAAATACCATCTTTCCCTAACCCTGCGTCCCCTTAAACCCGCTGCCGTTGTGTAACTTCCAACTCATAGCAACAGAGTAGAAGAGCTCCATAGGATTTCAAGGCTTTAATCTTTGTGGAAGCGGATCGCAACCACCGACGCTTCAGTTAGCTGCAGAGCACTTACCCATTGCTCTACTGAGGCTCCTCCTGTACCTTTACCGAAGACAAGATCAAATTGGTAGGAAGTTTAACGGACGTCCTTTTGCTCATGACTCTCCTCTGGAACAGCCTCTTGTTCTTGCTCAGGATTAGCCAGCCAGTGGAGAAAGTGATTTAGAAATAAATCTCTGAGAACTTCAAGCTGAGTTCTTGTTAAAAGTTGGATTTAGTTTATAAACAACTACCTAGCAGGTTTCTTATTGCCCCTGGAGATGGGTAAGAACTTAAAACAGTTAAAAACCAAGTAGCAGAACAGCCGGCCTGGGTCTAAATGGAAGTACTTTGTGCTAATCTGTGTACGTTTTTGAACATTTGAATGGTGGAAGTATCTCCGTCTAACACCAGAAGCATTTACGCTTACAGTTGCTGATGTTTTCATTCTAGTAACATGCTTCTCATTAAGTCTCAATAATGAAAAATATTAAATAAATTAAGAAACAAAACACCTACAATTCTGGAGAGAAAATTACTGGCATTAACCCTTCTTTCAAATAGCTTATATTTTGAGTCAGTTCAAATAATGTTTAAGGGCTGTAAATTGGCTGCAAATCAGGATTTTTTCTTCAAATCAAAATCTCCAAATTATTAACTGCCCAGTTGTTTGTTTATATTGTATTGTGACAAGAACCCACGGCCATTGTGAAATAATAAAGAAATTAGTACACTGCTTTAATTTGTATTGCTTAAAGCTTAAAAAAGAAATCTACTTCCAAAATGCAGGTGGTTTTCTAGAATATGGGTTTAATAGAATAGAAAACAAGATCTGGTACATTTAATGTAGTAAGATTACCTGACAGAAAATTGCTCCTAACCATGGCTAATGGAGCTCTGTGGCTCTGTAGGATAAGCATTGGGCTGCTAACCACAAGGTAGGTGGTTTGAACCACCACCAGTTGCTCCAAGGGAGAAAGATGAGACTTTTTGCTCCCACAAATCAAGCCTCAGGAACCCTGTATCCCTATATAGAGTTGCTGTGAATTGGATCTGTCTCTGTGGTACTCAGCGGTAGCAACAGCAGCATGGTTGAGTGCCGTTGAGTTGGTTCCGACTCATAGAGATCCTGTATGGGATTTCCAAGAATCAGCTGGTGGGTTTGAACCTTCGCAGTCTAGTGCTGGCAGCTCGAATGAGATCCCATTGGCCATTGCATCTTCATTTCTACTTTTATTGTTGAATAACCTTGATCTTAAGGTGTACTTGGTCTGGCATTTTAAATTATTCGATCAGATGCTTGCTTCTTTTCAAAACAGATTTTTTTCCTATTGTGTTCTCTTCCCACCACCCCCATCCCATCCCCACTCTTATTTTCTCTTTAAAATGCAGAACTTCAAGATCAAATTGTATCCATTCAGGAGGAAAAGAAGACTTTAGCCATTGAACTGGAAAATCTCAAGAGCAAACTTGCAGATGTAATTGAAGAAGTACGTATCTTAGATCTGAAGGCAAGGCCTTTGGTGTCTTTTAAGCTATTTGGAGATTGGCTAAGTTAGAAACTGTCTACTGGAAGCTGTTTCATTTCTGCTGGGAGAGCCATATGCAAATTTCAGTCTTCTCGCCCTTGTTTCACATATTCAGTGGAGTGTAGAGAAGAGGCTTCAGCACGCATGTGCCACTGTCTAGACTAATGAGCAGGACACCAGACTGATACTCAAGTGCCCCCTGTCATTGCTCTATTTTGACTGCATGTGTGTGCAAATATCAGGTCCGTGTCAAGTCTTCCACCTTATTGTGGTGGTGAAGAAGAAAATAGGTATTTTACTTCTTTAGTATATGGCTGGCCCAGTGAGAAGAACTGTCCTCCGTGTCCCTTCAACACAGACAAGTGTGGTGGATGGTAGAATCAGTTTGAGTCTTTAAAGAATCTTTTTTTCACTTTTGAATTGTCTTTAAGAGCAAAAAGAGATTATTGCCTCTCTTTGCATGATCCTTCAAATAAGGATCTACCTTTGCAAATCTCCATCTCACTTGTGTATGACTAAATGACTCAAGTGCTGATCTCTGTTTGGATTTTTTTGCATTAAAATTAGCAACTCTGAATATAGTAGAGCATATGGGAGTAGTTACAAAAAGCTCAAAATAACCAAACATCTGGAGGGAATGATTCACTGGACCTGGGGGCTCAGGACCATAATTTCAGATGACCCCTAGGTTAATTGGTATCCCATAGTACACAAAAACAATGTTCTACATCCTACGTCGGTGAGCGATTGGGGTCTTAAGACCCTCTGAGTGGCAATCTAAGGTACAACTATCTGTCTTCGCCCCTTCCCCACCCCCCACCCCCCATAGCTATTACTTTCAAGGCATGATTACCACACTGTGATCGTCAGGACTGATACAGTGCCAACTGGCATTTGAAGCTAAGCTCTGTACCAAGTGTACAACCTGTCTCTGAAGCTTTAAGGAGAACTTTAATAAAAGCCGAAAGCAGCAAAGTCAATTTCTGCTTTCAGTTGTAACTTCGTGTTGAAAGTTGAACAGCAATTTCAGTATCTCAAGTTGCCATGTGCCAGATTTTAAATTCTGGTGGTTTTTTTCTCTCCTCACATTCTCACACTTTTTTTTTTAGGTAAATAAAGTCAAGCAGGAAAAAGCTGTTTTGAATTCAGAAGTTCTTGAACAGAGAAAAGTCTTAGAAAAATGCAATAGAGGTATGCATGTGTGTTGGGTTTTTTTCTCAAAGACATATACTGTTGGTTTTATGGATGTCTGTTCCGTGGGGTTTTAGGCCTGTGCCCAGACTCTGTAGCCAGAATCTCCTCTTGTACTGTTTTCCTAATGTCTTGCCGCAGACTTTCCCTATTCCTGTTATTTTATTAATCGTGTTAGAATCTGGAGACATTTCTTTTGAGGAACTTGAGATTCATTCGTTTTGAAACTTCAAAACTAACTACTGCTTCTCTTCTACGCTACATTCTATGATTTGGACCATACTGTCTGCTCAGTGCTTATATGTTTGGTACGTTGTAGGAGGAGGTTAGGATGTTTGCATAAATACATGCAATATATATGGTGTGATAAAATTGTAAGTTAAGAGGACATGGGGAATGGATCCAAGGGAAAGTGAGAGTGTAGATTGGTACCCAGAGTGTGTTACCATTCGAATGTTTCACCGCTTGCCCACCCGTGTGCCAGAAATCTGGCTCTGAGCTGCCTAGAGCCCAGTGTGATGAGGGGTTTATGATCACTTGTAAGAATCCCATGAACACACACACACATTGGTCGGGAGGCACAGACTTGGTATTGGAGTGAAAGGACATTTCTGCCATGGCTATGCCCAGAGAAAACTCTGTAACGTTCTAAAATATGATCTTAATCATTTTTGTTATGAAATAGCCGCCAGTCTCATAGGACTTTTTCTGATGTTTCTCAGTTTAGGCCAAGGGGGTGATGCCCTTGTGCAGTTCTGCAAAAGCCTAAGGAAGAGGACTTAGGTGTTTTTTGTTGTTTCTGACTCCTTCAGTTACTGAAGAATGGGTTAGGGTTTAATAACAGTCTTTTTCCTCTGAGTTCAGGAAATCTTCCAGCTTTTCCAGGTTTTCCCATGTTGTTCTAGGTGGTGGCTCTCAACCTGTGCTCATTTATAAATTGGGATTAAAAATGATAATAATAAAGCATTTTGTGGTTCGGTGTGGATGATGCTCTAGATTGTTGTAGTTCCTCAGCTCGCTCTTCATATAAGATGGTGGACATGGTGTAGGAGGATTCTCAGTTGAGACGCACTATGGTAGAAACCAGGTTCTACAAAGGGTCCGTCTTGCCTCCAGAGAGCCCCAACTAGAATGAGAGAGGGGTTATAGAAATCAGTGCACTAGTAGGGCCAGCCTAATTTCTTTCAGAATCCATGTCAAAAAGACCTAGACCGTGTGAAAGTTTACTTTTTTTTTTCCAGTATTCTGGACCTAGAAAAGAGAGTCCATTGTCTTTGTTAGGGATTCAGATAGTCATATCTTTGTTGTTTTCATGAAATTTCTTGGTTTTTTGAAAATAAGGCTGCAAATCACGTAACCCTCAGGGACATTTAATTCCCATCCTAAACCACCACTTACATTGCTTAAGACTGTATGTGTCTTTGGTCTGCGGAGGCAGTAGATTTAGACTACAGAGTCTGAAATGCTATGTCATTACACAGCAACCCAGTCCTTAGTCAGTTAGGATTGAAGTGCCCTGGTGGGACAGTGTGTGAGAGCAGCCATTAAGAGAGTCTTTTCAAAGATTTTATTGATAGGACTCAGTTCAGGTTTGAGGGGCCTCTTTAGAAGGTGATAGAGAGGCTAATGTGTTGTGCCTAATTTCTAACCGTATCATCACTGCCTCCAGCATCACTTTCAGCATCACACTTTAACAAAATAAACCACCAAATAGCACACGTTGTGTGGAATTCATGCTGCTCTTACTCAACAGGACCGTTTTCTTGAAGGTTTCTATCCCACAGTCATTCTTTAGCTCTGAAAAGTTGGTGGTTCAAAACCACCAGCCGCTCTTGCTTAACCTATACAGGGTCATTGTGTTAAAACCACTCAATGGCACACAACAACAACAACAACAACAACATTTGGACCTGAATGGCCCCATGACTGGTTTTTCTTCATTGTAAACGTACATAACACATAAAAAGTACAAACGTCCCCTCTGCTCTTTTACTTAGGTAACATACTTTTGGGGAGTGAGAAGTTGAAAGATTTATATATATTTTTTTAAAAATCTGACATTTACAATCCAGAGATAAGCACTATTAATGTTAACATCTGGTTTTCCATTCTTTAAAATATTCCTATGCAGACATTGGATTGTTTTACTCAATCTGTTTAGAAGATACAAGGGGCTTTTAAAAGTTCATGGTAAAATGGAAGTAAGAGAAGATCAAGAAAAATTTCTTTGAACTTTCTGACGCTCTCTCTTATATGGAAAACAAGGAGAATACTAGGGAAACACATAATTCTTTCCCTGCTGGTATCTTCCAATCCCCCAAGTATCACTCCCTAGTCATAGCCTTCTCTTGGGTTTTTTTTTTTTTTTCCCCCTCCCTTTTTGTATAAAGTTTTGCCAAATATGTATTTATCCCCAAACAGCACATTGTCTAATTTTGCAAGTTTAGAATTTTTTATATAAAAACTGTTTTGCATGCCTTCTTCTGCAGCTTCGTTTTCTTGTATTTGTGAGACTTATTCATGTTGAAGCGGATAGCTGTGATTTTCACTGCCAGATAGAATTCCAATTATGAGATGATTCTACCAGAGTTCACGTGTCTGCTAGTCTGTCGGTGAACAGTCAGGGTCTTTCCAGTGTTTTACTATTTAAAGTCACATTAATCTGAAAAATTCTTAGACAGGCCTCCTGGTATATCTGTCTGAAAGTTCCATTAAAATGTATGCCTAGACATCAAATTTTGTTTTCCACTTTATTTCATAATGCCAAGTTGCTTTTAAGTAGACATGCCTGGAGCAGTGCCCGACTCCATTGTTCAGGGTCCTCTCCAACACTTGGCCTAGACATACCTTTTGCCAGCTGTGAAAACATAACTCTTTGTGTTTTCTCTGCATTTCCCTGATCACTCATGCAGATGAGCATCTTTTCGCAGATCTATTACCTTTGACAGAGTGCTCGTGAGGTGCTGTGGATTAATATGCTAGACTGCTAAATCATTTAAACTGCTTGGTCAGAGTTCAAGCTCACCAAGCCATTCCTCGGAAACCCAATACAGGGTTGCTATGGGTCAGAACCAACTCAATGGCACTTAACAAAAACATTACCCTTCACATCTCTCCTCCTCGTTTGTTAAAAAAAAAAAAAGGGACTCATTCTGCACTCATTTTTTTGCACCTTAAAATATTTTTTGTTATATCATCAGTGACCTTCCAGTAAATGTGCTTTTGCAACATAATTGGAGCGGATGCATGCGGGCGGTTCCTTATAAAAAGCACCAGTTACTGCTCCTTCAGTGTGAGACCCATCAGTGTTGCATTATTTTCACCAAGGATGTAGAAGGCATTTTCGTAACTAAGTATCTGTATGGACTCATGATGTGTTGTTGCCTTAGTATATACATTCCTGGGAGCGGGATTGTAGAGTCAAAGGGAGCTTAGATTTGCCAGGTTGCCCTCTAAGAAGGTTTTTATCACTTTGTATTCCAACCAGCAGTGGCTGAGGGTTTGAAGAATCTTCTAGGTACTCTTTTTGCCACCTGTCTCCCTGATCATTTGTGTAACGTGTGGTCTGGTTTCCTTTTCTCGTCCTTTGAAGTGTCCATGCTAGCAGTAGAAGAATATGAGGATATGCAATTAACTCTGGAGCTGGAAAAGGATCTTCGAAAGAAAGCAGAGTCTTTTGCACAAGAGGTGAGTATCTCATGGAGACTTAGGTTTTGGCTGTGAAGCTGCATGAGAACATCCTATTTTGAGTTACGAGTCCGCTGGTTTAGGGCAGCAGTTATGAAATAGCAGTAAGAGCCCTACAGTTGGTATCAGGAGATCTGGGTTCAGGAGATCTGCGTTCAGTTTTTGTCCCTGTCTTTGCATGGCCTCAGAGGACAGTCCTACAGCCTCTTGGGACTTCCCTTTTTCCATCTGTAAAATGGGGGATGATGCCTACCTAATGAAATTTTAGATTTTAGAATCACATGGTGCAATTTTAATTAATTTATTTATTTTTAGAAATTGTCAAATGTTTTATTTTACTTGGACCCACAATCAGTGCTCATTGAAGCAGCATGTAAGAAATCAAATGATACATTGCATTAGGCAAAGCTGTTGCAAAGGATTCTTTTTTTAAAGGTTTTATTGTGCATTGAGTAATAGTTTGCATTGGAGAACATAGGTTTTGCACTCATCTGATCAGATTGCGTATCATTGCAATGATTACAATCCACTACATACATCACCATTCAACAGTATTTACTTCTGTTCCCTCTTGTATACAAAAACATTCAGGAATATATACACATTGAAACAACCCAAGGGCACATTCTGCAAGCCTGCCTACTGGCTGACGTGATGCAATTTTTTAAAGAACTATTTTGCAAACCACAAAATGCTATATAGGGGAAAGGATTTCTAGTTAGGGCTGCCCATTACTTGTGATGGGAGGTCCAGCTTCTGCACAGATACCTGTGAGTCCCCAACAGCCTTCAGAATCTGGGATGCAGCCCCATATGCCATCTCAGATAACAATCTCATGGTATCAGTATTTCTCTTCAGCTGCTGTTCAGCGCTCGCATTGTGTGAATGGAGTCTTCCGCCAGCTGTGGACATTGTGTTGTGTGTATCCATGAGCTCGGCCTTTCATCAGTGTGGTGATTTTCCTCTCATGTTCAAGATAAAGTCTGTACTTCTCATGTTCCAATTTACTGTTGTTGATATGCGGGCATTGGGTGTTTGTTCCATGGCTTGGGGCCTGCTTTCCTGAGATGACAAGGCACCAGTCGGCTGGACCTTAGCAGCTCAGGGTATTGATCTGCTGGCCATGAATGCTCCCTTCTGTAGACCTGTTTTGCATCTATGCATACTATGGACTGAAGGAAAGTAGCTGAGGAAAGGAAAAGCAATCATAGGTAGAGGTATCGGAGGTGTAGAAGGGAGACAAAGCATGGGGGTGTGAGAATGACACCTGAAATTCAGATTCCGTACAGGAGTCTCTGTGTGCATCAGTGTACCTGTGTTAATGACGAACTCTACAAAAGGTCTGGTCTAAACAGATCTGATTTGAAATATTATGATTCATTTTATTCAGAGAGTTTAATGAGAGGTGAGTAAATATTGTTCTCCTTGGAAGAAGAAGAAGAAGAAAAGGAAACAGAAGTGAAGTGTGTCAAAGCTTTCTTGAAGGAAGCGGCGGTGATGGAAATCATAAGATGAAATAAACAGTTGAGCAGAGTGGTGGAGATGATGTGAAAATGTGGTCTCGTTCTGACCTGAATGCCAGGGCCTTCCTTGGAGAGACAGTTTCCGTTTTCCATCAGGTGTTTGTACAATAATGTTGGAATACAAAGCAGCTTGAAGGAAGACTTGATGGCAAAGGCGAGAGATGGGAGAAGCAAGATTCCATTAATGATATAGAATGGATGATGTACTCTGTCGCTTACCTTCTGGCCGTAAGCCTTAGAGATTGGTAGAAACAAGGATGCTGACTTGTTAACCCAGATTGAGGAGGAGGTAGAGGTTAGAGGGTGGAAAACAAGAGCAGCGGCACGTATGATAGCGTATGTATGTGAGGCGCGTTGATTTTACAATACCTAACTTCAATCAACAAAATAACGAGAAGACATCTTTTTCATTTTTTTTTTAATAATAGAGTTCAGTTGGAACCAGCATATTTTCCCTTATGCATGGTTTAAAAATTCTCAGGTTTTCAACACATTGTTGTTGTTGTTAAGTGCCATGGAGTCGGTTCCGACTCATAGCGACCCTGTACAGGGTTTCCGAGGCTGTAAATCTTTACAGGAGCAGATCGCCTCATCTTTTTCCTGCGGAATTCAACACATAACTACTGCTAAAATGGTACATAACTTAGTTTTACAAAAGCGATTCCACCCTGTTGTCTTTTGTTCCTTGGGGCACTCAGCAGACATCCCATTCAGCATCTGCTGTGCGCAGGCGCTGTGCTGATACTGGGAATTCCGTAGTGAGAAAAGCAAACGTGGTCCCCTGTCTTTCCAGAGCTTTAGCATCTAGAGCCTTCAAAATAACATTTCTTTTCAGCTAATTTATTTTATGGTTTTGTTTACAAAAGGAACGTGCCAGGGGGTTTCCAGAAGTTTTTGGGAAAATGGAATTAGAAGATAAGGGAGTTTTACCACGAGGGGGCTTTTGGAAGCCCCCTCCTATATTGTTGTTGTGTGATGTCGGGTCTAGTCCTACTCAAAGCAACACTGGAGGTCAGAGCAGAGCTCCCCGTAGGGTTTCTCACCCTGTAATCTTTACAGGAGCAGGTTGCTAGATCTTTTGTCCCACAGAGCCAGTGGGTGGGTTCAAACCACCCAATTTTGGGGTCAGCAGCTTAGTGCTTAACCATCATGGTCCTACCAGGGCTCCTTAGGAGTAAAAAATAAAACTATTCTTAAATTGTGTCAACAAAAACATGATCCTCGAATCAAGAAGAAAATAGACAACTCTTTTAAGTGTGGCGCTGTGGGCTAATGCGTCAGACTGCAAAGTCGTTTGAACTGCAAAGTCAGTGGTTCAAGCTCACCAGCTGCTCCTTGGAAACCCTATTCAGGGACGCTATGGGTTGGAATTGACTCAACGGCACTTAACAACAACAACAACACAACTCTGTAAGTGGTCTGTTTCTTCAGCACAATTTAAATTTTAATGACTTTTCCTGTATTTCTTGAGTATTTTTTTCTTATGATTCAGTTTACTTTTTTTTTTTTTTAAATGTGGATTCCTTGTCTAACCTACATTCTCAATATACATGTGAAAACAATCTATAATTGACTCTTCCCCCTTCCCCCCACCCTATCCCCCTTCCAAGCAATTCAGATGATGTTTGAGTGCTGTTTTGTAAAGAATTATATATATAAAAGACCTAAGATCATCATCTTCTTTTCACTCTTCTTTGGGAAGTTTTATAGATTTTCTGAAATTGATACCTATGGTGTTATTTGTCTGATACAGAAATTAAGGGACCAATTTCCTAACGCTAACCAACAAGTTCTTACTATAACAAACAATCAAATTCATCAGTGTTTAGTAACTTTGAATTTTCTGGAAATTTCCTTAGAAAAGGAATTATGTAAAAGTACTGTATTTTGGTGTTGTTCATTGCTGTTACATGCCATCGAATCGGGTCTGAATCATAGCAACTCTGAATAGGGTTTCCAAAGAGCAGCCACTGGGTTCGAACTACGACCTTGTGGTTAACAGTCCAGGACTTATCCTATGGTGCCTGCACCAGGAGTATTTTAACATTTAGATGGTCTAAGGAGGATTTTTTTTCACAAGTTATCTTGGTTATTTTACAGCAGTTTCTTTCCTTTATATTTGTTCAGCTTATATTCAGGACCTTAGTTTTGCAAAAGGAACCCTGGTGGTACTGGGGGGTAGGCATTGATCTGCTAATAACCTCAAGGTTGGCTGTTCTAATCCACCAGCTGCTCCCGTAAAGGCATACCGTCATGGAATCCCTAGGTAGGGTCACTACGAGTCTAGGTCACTATGAGTCGGAACCGACTTGGTAACTGGTGGTGGTGGTTGTGTGCCTTCGGGTCGAATTTCAGAGTTTGTAAAACTCTATAAATGGGTATAATTTCAGAGCCTGTAAAACATTTCATTGGATTACCCATTGGCCCACTTGTGTAGCGTTAGGGTAAAGAACTAACACAAAGATAGAAAATAATTTTTTTTCAATCAGGTAGCATTGTAAAGGGTTAATTAATATGTAAATTGCTTAATAAGGTGCTCAATAAATATCACTGTTCTTTCTCTCCTTTACTTATCTAGCGTTAACTAATTTAACCACTGGGTTGACTTAAAGTAAAACTTTTGGTTCAGTAAACAGTGAAGGTAGGACCACTGGTAGCACTGTACTGAATTACGAGCTGGGCTGCTAACTGCAAGGTTAGCAGTTCAAGCCCACCAGCCCTTCTGGGGGAGAAAGATGAGGCTTTCTGTTCCCGCAAAGATCTACAGCCTCATAAACCCTATAGAGCGTCGTTATGAGTCGGACCTGACTGGGCAGTACCAAACAATGATGGTAATTAGTCAGGTAGTGAAAACATGGGCCTTGGTATTCGTTCAGGTCACGTTTAAATCCTGGTTTTGCAGCTGTGTCATGTAGAAAGCTGTTGAACTTCTCTAAGCCTCAGAATAGCAGGGAGATAAGGGTGAAAACAGTCCCTACTTACAGGGTTGTTCTGATGATGAGCTGATACAATGAATGTACAGTGGTAGAAGCAGTACATGAACAGAGAATTGCCAGAAATTTCAGCTGGGTGAAGAAGAGGCTATGGGATGAGGGATATCATTGCTGATATCAGATGGATCCTGGCTGAAAGCAGCGAATCCCAGAAAGATGTGTACCTGTGCTTTATTGACACTATGAAAAGACATTCAACTGTGTGAATCATATCAGATTCTGAGTAACGTTGTGACGAATGGGAATTCCAAAAACACTTGCTTGTACTTATGTGGAACTTGCACATCCATCAAGAGGTAGTCGTTTGAACATAATGAAGAGATACTGTGAGGTTTAAGACCAGGAAAGGTTGCACCCTGGTTCTGTCGTTTACCCAAGCTTACTCAGTTTCTATGCTGAACAAACAAACAGTTTGAGAAGCTGAACTGTATGAAGAGGAACACAGCATCAGGATTGGAGAAGACTCACTAACAACCTGCGTTATGCAGATGATACAACCTTGCTTGCTTGTTGAAAATTGAAAGGCCTCAAAGCACTTGCTGATTGATGAAAATCAAAGATTGTAGCCTTCAGTATGGATTGATTATACCTAACAGAAAGAAAACAAAAATATTTGCAACTGGACCAATAAGCAATCTCATGATAAACAGAAAATATTGAAGTTGTCAAGGATTTTTTTTTTTTTTCTTGGATCCACAAACAACATCCATGGAAGCAGCAGTCAGGATATCAAATGACATGTTGCATTGCACATCTGCTGCGAAAGAACTCTTCAAGGAGTTACAAAAGCAAAGATGTCACTTCGAAGACTAGGGTGTGCTTGATACCCAAGGCACGGTATTTTCAGTTGCCTCATGCATGTAAAAGTTGGACAGTGAATAAAGGAGACTGAAGAAAAACTGATTGATGTCTTTGAATTTTAATATTGGCAAAGAATATTTGTGACAAAATCTAGTCTACGGACTACCAGGAGAAGAAATAAGTCAGGGTGCTCTTTAGAAGTAACAATGGGGACCATGTCCATCTCACGTACTTTGGACATGTTATCAGGTGAGACCAGTCCTTGGAGAAAGACTTTATGCTTGGTAAAGTAGACGGTCGGTCATAGAGAGGGAGAGGGGCTGTGTGCTGACAACCGGGGAGCAGGCTTGCAGGGTATACCCTTTGGTTGGTTGATGATGCATGGAGGGGATTGTAATCATAGCAATGAAATGATATATGATAGGATGAATGTAAAACTAATGCTCTCCCATGTAAACTATCACATAATTCACAATAAAACATTAAAAAAAAAAAAAAGTAGAGGGTCAGTGAAAAATAGAAAAACCCTGGAAGAGATGGATTGAGAGTGGCTGCAGCGAGGGGCTCAGACATAGAATTGTTTGTGAGGCGGTTGGTTCTAGGCCCAGGCAGTGCTTTGTTCTGTTATACATGGGGCTGCTATGTGTTGGAACCAACTCAATGGTCCCTAACATGGACAATGATGATTAGTATTAATATATTTCAAAACAATAATGAAATAATAAAAACGGAAGTATTAAATTGTTTTCTACTTTCCTTTTGGGGGACAGGGGTAAAAGTTATGAAGGGAATTATAACATTTACTACTTGTGAAACTCTTACATTGTGCAATTCAGAAATTACTGTTAACTTGTGAATCAAAATGGCATGCTCTTTTCCTTTCGCTCAAGTTGCAGTTGAGTAATTGTGTGGGGGTTGTTTGCTTTATACTTTTTCATAATGAACTTTTACAGATGCTCATTGAACAAAACAAGCTCAAGAGACAAAGCTGCCTTCTGCTACAGACCTCTGCTCCTGACCAGCAGCTTTTGAAAGCGTTAGATGAAAATGCCAAACTCACCCAGCTCCTTGAGGAAGAAAGAATTCAGCATCAACAAAAGGTAACGTTAGATGTTTTCCCAGAGTCTTAAAGATACATATATATTTAGTTCCTGTCACTTATAATTCCATATTTTAACTTAGTTACTGATTTCTTCCAGTGACAGTCTAGAGGAAAAAAAAAATCTAGCCAATGAACTTGATACCATGCGCCATTAAAATATATTGTACACAATTAGACTTTATAATGATTCTTAAAGTGTTCAAAGGATCAGAAGAAGTAAGGGAAAGAGATCTGACTCAAAAAGCATTTTGAGTAACGTAGAGTGTGCAAGTCTGAAAGTTGATTGGGCTTTTGGGGGACTGCATGCATGGTTGTTAAGTGCTGTCGACTTGATTCTGACCCAGAGTGACCCTGTATAGGGTTTCCGAGGAGCAGCTGGTGAGCTTGAACCACTGACCTTGCAGTTGAAACGGCTTTGCAGTCTGGCGCATTAACCCACAGTGCCACACCAGGACTCCTTTAGGAGGGCATATTTGTCTCAAGTAAGCTTGCTGGAGCGCGTCCAGAAAAAGAAAAGTCTATGTTCGTGGTAATTGTTTGCTTAGGAAAATTTCTGATTTTGTAAACTTGTACAAATATATATGTTTAAAGGCTTAAGTGGTTATTCAGTTTGTATGAGTGGAGCTATTCCAGTTGACACAGGCTACCTGGGTGCTGGGCAGAAAAGGGTAGTGATTGTGGAAGGTGGGAGAGGAGGAGGGGCAAAGAGGTGTGGAACAAAGGCTTTGGAATTAAAGAAACCACTTAGGAAAAATTACATCACTATTTATACTGCTTTCTTCTTACCTAGCTTATGAAGAAAGGCTGTTCGCAGCTATTTATGATCACCTGTCAGAGTTTCTTTCAGCCACCATGTTGACATTTAATTTTTGGACTTTCAGAAGTTGTTTACAAAGTTGGTGGGGACACAGAGTTGGTTTTTTTTTTTTCTCCCCCTAAATAAGAAATGCTGGTACCTGTATGTAGGGATTACTGTTTCAAATAAAGAGAAAGAAAGAATGTACTTTTTCTTCCGCTTATCTAGAATTTAGCTTTTCGTTCTGAAAAGTCGAAGCACTTGTAGTTAACTCATTGCGTAAATTGTACATGTCGGCAACGTACTGCATTGAAATAAGGTGATGTGTTGTTAAGTTTCCTTGAGTTGGTTCCAACTCAGAGTGACCCTGTATAGGGTTTTTGAGGTTGCAAATATTTGTAGAAACAGAGAGCTTCATCTTTCTACTGCAGGGCTACTGGTGAGCTTGAACTGCCAACCTTGTTGTTCGCAGTCCAGTGCTTTAGTCACCTTGCTCCCAAATGGTCATTAAGCTCATGAAATGATGGTCACCATCACTGTCATTAAGGAAATGCAAATCAGAACCACAGTGAAATACCATTTCACACTCACTATGGTGTGGCAGTGTAGAATAAACATGGATTGCTAACCTCAAGGTCGGCGTTTGAAACCCACCAGGCACTCCCTTGGAAGCCCTATAAAGGGTCTCTATCAGTCGGAACTTAATACTGAACACCACCACCATGATGGCTGCATTAACAAGTCCTGGCAAGAACATGAACAAATTTGATCCTCAATTTTAATTTGATCCTCAAAAATAATTTTGATAAGAATAAATAATGGTTCAACCTCTTTAGAAACTAGTCTGGCAGCTTTTCAAGATGTTAAATATAATTACCATAAAACAAAACAAAGCCCAGTGCTGTAGACTCAATCTCAACTCATAGTGACCCTGTAGAGGGTTTAATTCCACTTGTAGGTAAAAACTCAAGAGATATGTAATGATTTGCTCCAAAATATGTATATGAATGTACATTTCAGTATTAGTCTAAATAACCGAAAAGTAGGAACAACTTGATTTAACTAAGGTTTGCTGTTGTTAAAGGACCAGTGAGTCAGTTCTGACTCATAGTGACCCTGTATAGGATTTCCGAAGAGCAGCTGGTGAATTTGAACTGCCAATGTTGAGCTAAGGTTTAGGACTAAATTATTGTATATGGACCTTGTTGGCGCATGAGTAGAGGTACTGAAAATTATTTAAAAGTTGTGACTGAAAGTACAACCTTCACGGCTTACAAGACTGGTATACGATCTAATTATTCTGGGTAACCTTTCATTTGGGTGGCTTGAAATATCTGTCTGTCTGCAAATTCCTTTGCAGATTAATTCATTCACTTATAATTTAAACATAGAAGTATGTGTATTATTTTTGTGATTCATAAAAATGACATATGCTGATTGTAAAAAAAGAAGCTTAAAAAATACAGAAAAGCTTAAAGAAAAAAGTTGATTACCCAAGAATCCAATGCTTGGGTTATATCCAAACTATATAAATATATATTATGAATATATGTATTTGTTGTTGTTGTCAAGTGAGTTCCAACTTGTAGTGACCCTATATATAGGGTTTCCAAGGAGCAGCTGGTGAATTTGAACCACTGACCTTGGGGTCGAGAGCTTATCGTATGGCATCACACTAGGACTCCATATATCTATGGAGTTGTTGTTATGTTATGTTATGTGCCGTGGAGTCGGTTCCGACTCATAGCGACCCTGTTGTTAAGTGCCATCAAATCAGTTCCAACTCATAATGACCCTGTATAGGGTTTCTGAGGACAGGCTGGTGGGTTTGAACTGCCAATCTTGTGGTTCACAATCCAGTGCTGATCCTACAGTACCAAACTAAGAGTTCCATATATATATGTGTGTGTGTGTGTGTGTATATGTGTGTGTGTGTGTGTGTGTCCTGGTATGCAGCTGTAGGATAAAGCCCTAGACTGCAAGGTCAGTTTGAACCACAAGGTTGGCATATATATATATATATATGTAAATAAAGAGCGAATGGAATCTACCGAGCATGCGATTTTATTGACAATATGAGGGTAAGTCAAAAAGTATTGCTACAAAATCATCAAACTATTTATTAAACAATAATTATCTAAATGTGAAGCTATTGTTCTTGATGCATCCTCCATCCAGGTCTGTATACTTCTGAAGGTAACGTTTCTACCTCTCTAGCCGTTCCCCGAAGAATTCTGTGCTTTTCCACTTACATCATGCCAAACAGCAGTTTTGGCATCCTGGAAAGTCACGAGTTCTGTTCCTTTTAAATGGTTTCTGAGTTTGGGGAAACCAAAAGAATCCTGAAGAAAGGGCAAGACCAGGACTGTAGGCTGGATAGGCCAAGTTTCCTAGTGAAATTCTCGGAGCACAGCTCTTGTGACCTTTAGTGAATGAGCAGATGTATCATTGTGATGGGGAAAAAATTCTGGGTGCCATTTTCCTGGTCTTTTTCTCACCAGTGAAGTTTTCAATTTTCCTAAAACTTTTTCCTACTAACTCCCCATGATTGTCCTGTGTCCTTCGAGAAAATCTACCAAGATGACCCCTGTAGGATCCCCAAGAAACAGTCCCCATAGCCTTCTTCTGAGTTGACTGCTCGGCCTAGAAGATCACTTTGGAAGCTGCTGTTTTACCGGCCCTTTCTTTTGAAGGTACTGTAAGGAGACTAAGACAGGTGTGTTACTGAGACAGCTTGTAGCTGTCATCCCCTAATCACAGATACACATTTAAAGTGTTTTGTTTGAAGTCAGCCCAAGCATGTATGAACGGGAACAGCAGTAGCATTACATTTAGACTTCTCCTGGAGATCTTCTTGTGTCTGTGTAGAGTGAGCTGTGCGCTTTCCAACAGTTTCATCATTACTTCATTTAATGAACACACCATGATTTATGCAATCAGCAAAATTTATATTGAAGCTCTGAGAATCAGACTTTAACCACCTAGCAGACATAGCAAACTGTCCCTCATCTGATTATTCAGTTATGCTTGTTAGTAATCGCATACATGAGCCTTGGATATCCATAGATAAATGTAAAAACCTTCCCTAAAAGCCGAGACTGTAAATTCCAAAAAGGCAAAGTTCCCCCCACACACACACACAAAAAAAAGCTAAAGAGGATGGAGAGAAACACTGTTAACTGATGGATGATGTATGGAGGGGAGTATAATCAATGTAATGAAACAAGTCATATGAATGGTTGAATGTGAAACTGATGATGTGACCTGTAAACTTTCACTCAGTCCACAATAAAAACCTTAAAAAAAAAAAAAATTATATTGAAACAAGTAGCTGGTAGGTATTTTAAGTATCAACTTTATTCCAGAATTAGCATGTTTATTAAGAGGGATGGTTGTCTCTTTGCTATGAAGTGTAAAAGGAAAAGGAAATACTTATTTATTTCTCATTCTTTTTCTTGACACTGGAAAGAGTTGTTAAGTGCCGTCGAGTTGATTCTGACCCATAGTGACCCTGTATAGATAGAGTTTCTGAGGAGCAGCTGGTGAGCTTAAACCACCGACCTTGCAGTTCAAACGGCTTTGCAAATCTGGCACATTAACCCATAAGGCCACATCAAGACTCCAAGGAAAAATACCAACACGTAAAAGTTTGTTTGTAACTTACAGGTCCAAGAATTAGAACAACAACTAGAAAGTGAAGCCCTCCACAAGGAGATTCACAGCCTCAAACAGCAGCTGGAACTCCTAGAAGAGGATAAAAAGGAATTGGAACTGAAGTATCAGAATTCTGAGGAGAAAACCCGGAATTTAAAACATTCTGGTAAAAGCATTTGCTAGGCTACTATGTCTGTGACTCTGAAAACTGTTCATCTCTCATGCCCAGTTCGCCAGGACATTTATGAATGCTTTTGTGAAATAGGAATATTTGTTTCTAATTTGCTTCATTTGTAACTAGCAAGTGATTCACAGATATTTAGACTTCTTTTTGTACTACGCCTTTTTCAGCATCACATTCAGACACCATTAGTATGGAAATATCAAAACCTTTAACATTTCCTAGTTCCTCAGAGAATCATGCACTTTAAGTAAGTACTTACTTTATTTCATTCATTTTAGGGTACGTTTTAAAGAAGAATTAAACTTTCTAGGTTTAAACGAACAGACTTCATTTTTGGTGTCAAATTATACACCTGAAATAATACTTTTAATATCACACCAAACAATAAAATGGGCAACAATCTCTATATTAAATGGAAAAACTGTTAGAACACTAGGGATCCTTAAATCAAAGGATTTATTCATTCAGTTCTAGAAGCCTTAACAGGACTCTGTGTTAGATTACCACATCTGCATAAGTAATAAGTTACTATTGGAAGGCAGGTAATTTAAAGAGGTAGACCATCCCCTTTATAACAGCTTCAATATTCACTTCAGATATTTTTGGATAATTTTATACTAGAATTTAAGACTTCACACAGAAAAACCATGTAGGCTTTTTTTCTCTTTAAAAAATTTTTTCAATGCTTTTTCATATGCCGTAACAACTGACTAGAACTTATTGTCCATTGTCTTAAGTAAATAGTGGATATCGGAGAAGCCTGAATGCCAAGTCCCATTATTATTCAGGGAGGGAGACAGACACTAGAGGTATTTGAGGTTCAGTTTTGAACATAGGACCTGCTTGCTGCATATACTACCTGTCCTACTTTGGGATGCTATTCTACGAAATAGAGAAGAAAATAAATGATACCTTCTGCCCTTGAGATGTTCAGATTCCATTTGAGAGACGGACCTGTGCATAGAGAGATAACTAGAGGATTTTTAGTTCTGAGAGTGAAGCACAAACTGCCTAGATAAGTGGGGAGGATAAAAATCAGTGGACAAGTCATTGGGAGGTCATGGCCCGATTCTAGAGCTAACTCCTGAGTTTAGGCATAGGGTTCTCAGTAACTGTAGTCCATTCGACCATGTTAAGGCTATTTGCATATCTGTGAAATATGCATTTAAATTAAGCTCCTTGAAAGCAGGAAGTTGTGTCTTAAATAGCACCAAACATAGGCCCTTTCATCTGGTTGGTATGTGATAAATGCTGCATGAATAACTTGAGTGAATAAATTATATCTGCAGAACGTTCATCAAAATCGCAGAGGGTTTCTGAGCTACAGACATTTGGGAGGTGGAGTAAATTTAACATAATAACTAAATACTGGTCATATGGTTAAACTCAAAGACTTTAGTGTTTGTAGTTGGTGAAGGAAATTAACTGGGGGAGGGAAGTATGCGGCAGCTATTAAAATTCACTTCTAAATGTCATCTTTAAAATTAATTCTTAGTCTCTAGTTTCAAAGTATTAACAATTTCTTTGCATTGTATACTGCGTTTTTACAAATATTTTCACAACCTACTCCATCCTTACTCTCCTACCCACCCAGCCACAGTCTCGAATTTCTTTTCTCTCCTGTAGTTGTAGCCATAGCATATGGTACTTTTTCTTCTAACAGATGGAAGACCTTGTTTGCATTGGTAATACTAGACTAGAGAAAAGAAATTCTACAGTTTTGTATTGAAATTTCTAACTGTGTCTTAATAAAAAGTACTTGATTTTGAGAACAGTTATGTTGTTTTCGCTGTACATGCAAAAAAAAAAAAAAGCTATTCAGTTGCTTGTTTCAGCTGTCTTCTGAATGCTTGCTCTCTGTGCAGTGGATGAGCTCCAGAAACGGGTGAACCAGACGGAGAACTCAGTACCTCCTCCACCTCCTCCTCCACCACCACCTCCCCTGCCACCTCCCAATCCAATCCGGTAAGCACAGCCAGGAAGACGAGTCTGCATTACTGCTACTCCTCTTCAGAGAATCTGAAATTTCTGTCACTAATGTCCTTTTATTTTTTTTAAAGTATTGGCTTACATTATGTCATTTGTTGTTGTTAAGTGCTGTCGTGTTGGTTCTGATTCATAGCGACCCTGTATAGGTTTCCCAGGGATCATCTGGTGGGCTTGAACTGATAACCTTGCAGTTAGCAGGGACCACAAAAAGTATGAAAAGTGCCTTCTCGTATTTCCCTTGGAGAACTTTCCAAAGACCCTGTTTGTCACATCTACTCCTCCTCTACCAACTCGTTACCAACATCTTACATTTAATGACAATAGCAAAAAATCTACTTAAATGGCCCAAAAGCCAAGTAAGGAGCCATGTGTTTTGAGTGAGAGAGTGCTTCTCTCCTGAGTCCTTGTTCCCTCCCATTCCTCATCGAGTAATGTTAGAAGAGAGAAAAAAAATGTTAACGCTAGATTCCTGAGGCCTTAGGGTATTGGGCTGGACAGGTGCTCAACAGCCTCACAGAATCACAGCAGACCTGCAGGCTGGAAGCTTGCCCCACCCTCTAAGTGCAGCTATGGTCTTGGGCTGCAAGTCTAGGGGTTTCTATGGAAAGCAAGAACTCCACGTACGTCCGGCAGGCTTCCTCCTGACTGCAAACCCTGACCCAGCCAGCTCTGCCTGTAGTTTGAAATGACCCAAGCTGACCCGTCCACCCAAAGTTTGGAAGTCAAAGCATGGAGATGAGCGAGTTGGAGGTGGCAGCTGCCAGCTGTGGGGCTGCCTCCAATGTGGAGCCTGAGGACCAGTTGGTCCTTGATGTTTTATATGAAGCTGATTTGCACTTAACAATCTGGTCTTTGCAATGTAACCGTGTTGATAAAGTGAGGAGTGGGCGTACCTCCTGCTTGTTATAAAATCTGTCTCATTCTGTTATAAATATTCAGATTCCATGTGAGCATTCTGAGCTCAGAAGCTAGTGGTTTTTCTTATCTCAGATACTCTAGTCTTCAAATTTCAGTTCATGCCATTTAGGATTTCCTTTAACTGTAAGACCCAGGAGTTTGGAGTTTCTCTGGGACCTTTTTATCTTTCTTTCCCTTTAATTTGGATTTGAAAAACACTATCTTGTTTTTTATCTGGTCAATTATGTTTAAAATAAAAATACCAAAGTATTAATTATTATAAACTAATGCATAGTGAGTGATTAGTTGGGCTGCTAACCGCAAGGTCAGCAGTTCAAATCTACTAGCCTTGGGAGAAAGATGCGGCTTTCCTCTCCCATAAAGATTCACAGCCTCAGAAACCCTATACAGGGTGGCTATGAGTCAGAATTGACTCCATGGCAGATAGCTACTACCATTGCTCAATTAAAAGTACGAATATTTTAACCCAAACCTCTCATAAGTAAACCTTTAATAACGCTGAGAAAAGAACCTTCCATAAGAAAGGGGGATGGTGTTTAAATTCCTGTGGCAGGAAATCATATATGCAGACAGGAATGAACGCTTTTTGAGGGCCAACGTGACCTAATGGTTTTGAGTGCCTGATTTGATCTCAACATGTATTGGAAGGCGTAGGGCTCAAATTCCTACCTTTCTTTGTTCTACATTCCATCATCCACAGTTACATAAGATGAGCCGTGTGTCCGGTGACAACTTACCTCCCTGTGTTATGACGCTAGCTGTTTCTGTATAATTGATTCCCAAGCAAATGGCATTTCAACTTTTGCTAGATTTTTACCTTTCATTAACTCATGTGATTTGTTTAATCCTTTCACACAGCGAGGCCATGATTTCATACTTTGCACCTTTGCTGATCTATCTGAATAGAATGTATAGTATGTTCCTCCCACATAACTCTGAAAATGGGACTTTGCCTTTTAAAAAGACTCTCATTAGTTCTCCTTACTGAGTAGGCTAGGACATAATCTACTTTAAGCCATTCAAGTGGTTAAAGCAAAATCATTTTTACACGTGATCGATCCAAGACTGAATTGAAAGAATCTCAGGTATTTTAAATTCTTTCTCTCCTGGGTAGCGAAGTCTGTAGGAGATGGTCTGAATTTGACATTTAAAATGGGAAATTCATCACTTTGATCTTTCTGCCAAGGTCTAGAAGTTTGAACTGATAAGAAAGGTCACTCTGTCCATGATGTGGCGGAACAATTCAAAAGAGATTACAGTCTTGCTGTTGACCTTTCATTTTTCGTTTCAGAACCCTTGAGGACCTCCAAAATTAAAAGTGAAGGATAACCTAAATAGGAGTTTTCCCCTAAGAGCACTCTACAGTTAAGCTGAGAAATGAATGTAGGATTCAGGACTGTGAACATCTAAAGCATGAACTCTTTTGTAATGCCCTTTAAAGAAAAATTTCATTGAATAATACCTATGACTTTTATTTTAAGGTGAAATTAAATAGTATAGGACATAACTTTTCAGTAAAAAGATTTTAGGGAACAGGGGAGTCAAGAGTACTTTCTTTTCTAAGAATATATTTATAACATTAAAAAAATAAAAGAAACTGGTATAGGAGCAAATACTGTTGAGTGATGATACATGGAGGGGATTGTAATCACTGCAATGTAACGAAATACAATAGCGTAAGTATAAAACCCATGTTCTCCCATGTAAACTGTCACTCAATTCACAATAAAAACTAAATATATATATATATTTTTTTTTCTTTTTTTCATTATAATGGTCTTTGAATCCATTAATCAAGATTTTCCATCTTTATTCCTGAGCAATTTATTTTACTCTGATGTAGATCACGTTGTTGTTCTTAAAGTGCCATCCAGTTGGTTCCAACTCACAGCAACCCTATGAGTTACCTAGTTGTTCCTCACGAGTGGCTGGTGGATTTGAACCACTACCTTGTGTTCAAATCGACCTTGCGGTTCAGTGTTGATCCTACAACGCCATACCCCAGTATTCCTAGGGAGGAAGAGGGACCAGAACATGTGACTTTATTGCCCTTTCCTCCTGTTTCCACTCTTCTGATCTAGAGGGTGCTTGGGAAAGACTATGGAGGAAGGACGCCTGCCTTGGTCATTTTTGTATTAGTAATGGTGACAGAAGGCCAGCTTCTGGACAGGTGTGGTTCATGGAGAGAGGGAGGAACGCTTCCAGGAGAGCGTTAAACAGTTCTGTCTTATATGCTTTCTTGTCCAAGTTTCTCATCTGTCCTGTGAGACCCACCCCATTTATTCTCTCCATACTCATAAACCCCATCTTGACAGATGGTTCTTTTTCAGTATTCCAGGTCATTTTTCTCTGGGCAGTGAACCAGTCTCCAACCTGTGCTTCAACTCAGAATGTTTTGAACTGACCTTTTCTCTCATTTAGGTGGTTTACAATGAGAAACATGTATTATGACCTCATATATTTAGATAACTATTCTGAGCAGTACCAATAGCTTCCAGTTTCGTAGCCTTTATGCAAAATAACGCACGCTTCCCCCACCAATGTCTTCTCAAAGGTGAGGTCATTTGCAGAGCGTTCTGTGATTAGGGGGGTGAGGAGAGGAAAGACTCTGATTAGTAAGGTTCGTTGTCGAGTGCTGTCAAGGTGATTCTGACTCCTAGCGACTCTATATGACAGATTAGACGTACTCCATAAGGCTGCCTCAACACGTGTACATGATAACAAGTAGACATGGGCTGCTCCCGGCATTGAGTTGACTGAAAAGACATATGAGCAAATAAAATTTGCGTGATTTCATTGCTCATACTTCCAGAATAAAATGTGCCTATTCTGAGGGTTGAATCCTGGTGTGGCGCTGTGGGTGAACTGTGAGGTCAGTGGTTCAGGCTCACCAGTTGATCTTTGGAAACCCTATACAGGGTCACTGTGGGTCGGAACCGATTCGATTGTGCTTAGCAACAACAACAGCAACAATTATACGGGTTTAAGTAAGTTTGAATTTCTAACTTTTGTAAAAATAATTTACTTCTCTGTTGGGCCATTATGAGCTCAAAGAAGATAAGCTGGGAGAAGTGAACAGCTCCCAGTTGATAAGGCCTAGGAGTGTCCCTGGGCAGAAAAGGAGGTGTGGTTTCCTTTTAACTTGTGCTTTGTGCTAGGGGATTGCAAGAAAAGGCAATTAGAAAAGGAGTTAATCATTTTACCAAAAGAATAGAAATGAGAAGGAAAGAATAAATCTAAAAAGATAGCCATCGAAAAACCTCAGGCTGTGATGTCCTCAGAGCAGATAGTCCTCTGTAACGGTCTCTGTCCCTTTTCCACAAGCACCATGCTTTTCCTGTCTCTCAAGCATTTGTTTTCATCACTAGCTTCCCACCTGGTCTTCAGGAGTGTACTTTCTCAAGTCTCGTTCACCATTTCATGGAGGACATTTATAATGTAGTTGGAAGGATTCAGCCATTCTTAATTTATTTAAATTTTTCTCTTGTAAACGCTAATACATATGTGGGGCCCTGGTGTGGCACTGTAGGATAAGCACTGGTTTGCTAACCACAACATTGGTGATTTAAACTCACCAGCTGCTCTTTGGAAATGTTGTTGTTGTTATGTGCCGTTGAGTCGGTTCTGACCCATAGCGACCCTGAACAGGGTTTCCGAGGCTGTAAATCTTTACGGGAGCAGAAAGCCTCATCTTTCTCTCGTGGGGCAGCTGGTAGTTTCAAACTGCTGACCTTCTGGTTTGCAGCCCGATTCGTAACCACTATGCTACCAGAGCTCCTTTCGGAAACATTATGCAGGGTCATTATGTGCTGGAACTGACTCGACAGCTCTCAACAACAACATAGAGAGAGTCAGATTTTTTTATGTCCATATTTAACAAATACATGCTTACTGAGAACTTATAATGCTATTTTTTATATGAGTCTTGCCTGAACCTTTTCTCTTTCCTTCTCCCTCAGTCGTGGACATAGCTAGCTGATGGTTATATGTGAATTTTGGGAACCGATAATGGAGTTCATTTTTTGTCTCTGACTTTGTCACTGTGTACACATCTTGTTAGTGATTACAGCATTACCTCCTTACAGTGTTTAACTTAGTTTTACACAAAAAGGGATGAAACATATTTATCTTCCTTAATGTGATTTCCACAACAATGAGCTGTATGCCGCTGCAACTCTTGTGTATTCAAAATGCATCTGGAGAAGAGTTGGCTATTTCACAGACTATTTAGAATTTCTGCATTTTATTTCTTGGTTCACGAGCCGTCCAGTGATTGCCTGTTGTCTTTCTCTTTTTCCCAAAGATCGCTCATGTCCATGATCCGGAAACGATCTCTCAGCAGCAGCGGGGGCTCTAAGAAAGAAAAGGCGGCCCAGTCAGAAACAGGTAAGCCTCCCCTGGACTTGCTTTACTACCTTTATATACTTTTTTCAACCCTTATCACCTAATCTGCATTGAATTCTTTGACTATGAACAGATATCCATTTTTTTTTTTTTAATATCTCCTCCCCTGCCCTCATATAAGCCTCTGCCAGCTTTATAAAGATGAATCCAAGACAGCCATGGATGGCTTCAAGTAGCTTCTTGTCTTATGTCTAGTGGCATAGGGTGTGTTCAGGGCCAGAGGTGCTACATGTGAGCACAGCTCTGTCATGTGAGATATACCGAGTGGGAAATATGCTTCCATCAAGGTGCTGTGGGGCTGGAAGGGAGAGAGAGGGAACAGGTGAGGCTACCAAGCACCTCCTGTTGTACCGTGGATAGTCTCACAACTTTATGGTGTGCGCTGGATAAGTCAAATACAGAAGCTACAACTGTTGTCAGGGAAACAGCAAGTAACCGTCCTAATTAAATATGCGAGTGTTTCAGTTTACTTTTTGATAAAGAGGAGTATGAGCATCTAAGCTTATCTGCAAAGGATGCTGAAGCTGAGTCTTTGTAGGTTTCAAAAAGTCAGTAGATGGGTTCTTAGGGTAAAAGCAGCGCAGATAGAAGGGCGTCAGATTCAAAGGCTGAAAGTAGGGAAGGACCTTGCCATATTATAGAAATGGAAAGTGTGTTGATGTGGATCGAATGCATGTTTTTTAAGCGAGGAGATTGGGGAGACAGGCAGGGGCAGATCCTGGAGAGCCACAGAAGACGTGCAGAAGCCTTGACATTTCCCCTGTGTACAGGAGGATGGTTAGCTGGAGTTTGACCTGGTGAGAACCACCCTGACCTCAGGGAGATTACAGACTAACGGGAAGAGAGTGGACGTGGGGAAGCGATTCCAGCCATTGCACTGAAAGTTGGCAGCAGCTTCGATGAGAGGAGTAGCAGTCAGGATAAAAAGAAATGGATACATTCAGGAACTATTCAGGGACGGAAAATTACCAGGCCTTTGGGATTCGTTGAGAGGGATTTGTTGCAAGAATGATCTAAAGGCATGCGAAGAGAGGGAGAAGGACCTTGCTGTTGTACTGAGGCCCTAGGTGGCTATGTATAGAGCTGAAAGGACTTGGGTGGGTGTGCAGCCCCAGTGGAAACAGAGTTGAATGTTGTGAACTGTGGAACCCATATTCAACTCAACAGTGTTTGTCAGTGCCTACTGGTGTGGCGCTGTGGGATAATGTGCCATACTGCAATGCCGTTTGAACTGCAAGGTCGGAGGTTCAAGCTCACCAGCTGCTCCTCGGAAACCCTATCAGGGTTGCTATGGGTCAGAGCTGACTCAACGGCACTTAAGAACAATTATGTATATAGCGTGGTAGATTTGCCTGGCTCTAGCTCTCCTCAGAAACCCTATACTGGGTCACTATGAGTCAGAACCGACTCAGCAGCACTTAACAACAACAACAGCTTCTTCTTGGCCCCTCCTCTTTGCCTCCAGGTGCCCAGCCAGTGTGGCAATTCTGAGACCAGAGGTCTAATCACAGTGTCCTACACCTCGTGGACATGGGATGTTCCACGTTGCGTCCAAATAGTCCAAACTCTGTAGTCTGCTTATAGAAGGTCTTTTGCTTTTATTTCAGCTACATTTCTTAGTACATCTAACCAGCCTCCTGGCTAGGCCATTGCCTCTAAGCCGTCAGTGCATTTGCTGTTGTTAACACTCATTCCAGAATTGCTCTCCTGGTCTTCCCCTCGAAGAAAGATGCTGCTATTATACCATCTCCTCTGTGCAGAATCCAGCCTGGGTTCCTACATGAACCAAGCTCTTCCTCTTACTTGCTGGTATTCACACATAATTCAAAATGAGTGTCTATAGGATTTTGCTTCTCTTCTGCTACAGTGTGAATTTACCATCTCATCCTGCTCCCTGGCATGGTGCTCTTCCCACACCTCTCCCCCTGAATTGATTACAAATTCTTTGAGGGTTTACTCATCTCTGTCGCCTCTCTTATCTTCCACGTACAGTGGATGAAGTTTGAACTTAGTGTTTTCTTTCTTAGCCAGGGACTTTCCGGCACCATGGCAAACAAAGAGAGATGTTTGATTTCACCTATAGTTTCTCTGCCTGCCTCCTGCAGTCTTTTGTTGTCCTGCCTCTGAGAAGCAATGGGACTGAAAGGCAAATTCTGTTTTGCAAAAGGCATTGCCAGATTCAGAAGCAGCTTGCCTTTGGTGATTTGCGGGACAGTCCTGCTCCTAGTTTGCTCTCAGCTCCCCCTGACACTGTCATTTAAATGCTGTATGTGTCAATGTTGTTTTTTGGGACAACCAAGTATGTTCCAGAGAGTCAGGAGGAAATGATTTTTCCTTTGAAGTAAATTCCGTTATCGTTTTCTCAACTGCAAGCCTCTTTAAATAGACAAGTATTCTAGAACTTCTCAGTCCCTAGCATTAGGGGCCTTAACATTCATTCCCCTTACAAAAATGATATTTCTTGTATAGTTCATGAAATGTGGCAATATTTTCTCTGATCTCCTAGGGTAATTGGATGGTTATTTCAAAATCTAACTAGAGATACTAACACAGAAGTGCAATTCTCTGTTGCTCAAGGAATTTGAGACGAAGAGCCCTAAAATCATGGTGCTGTGGGTGGGATAAAGCACTGGACTGCAAGGTCGGTTTGAACCACAAGGTTGGTGGTTCAAACTCACCAGCTGCTCCTTGGAAATCCTATACAGCCTTGCTGTGAGTTGGAACCAACTGGATGGTACTTAACAATGACAACTGATGGGTACTGGAATAGCATCGCTGTTGTTATGTAAGGCAGTTATTTCTAGTGTCCTCTTTGTAGTTCACTCTGGAAACTGGTTGTTGAATGAATAAACCAACTATGTTGCTATTCACGGTGAGCAGGTGTAGACCATCCATACTGGGCTCTCCTGACTCTGATGGGTTCCAGGCATGACCTAGGGGCCAGTCTGGCTGTCAGTGGGGTTTCATCCACATGCAGACATCCTCTGATGACTCTTAGTGTAGAGTTGGTTTGCCTTTCAGAGCATCTGAAGGGGAAACCTTTGTCACTTGATTGTAGCTCTTAAATAGCTTGATGCTGGGGAAAAGTCCATGGAAGATTTTAGAAGTCGTTTTGAGGTCTGATTGGAAGAAACTGTATCAGCACCAATACTTGTTACTGAGCTAGTTCTGGGATTTGGAGCCATGCCAGCTGTTTGTCACACATCGAAACCTTTCCTTTGGTGATATTTTCTTTCTCGTGGCTCTTAGTTTGCTCATCTGTAGAATGTACCATTTCATCGGGTCGTCAGAATTCACACGTTTCACAATTTGAGACAGGTTCAGAGAAGTACTCAGCACATAGAAAGTATTCAAAAAGTGAACTAAAAATGAATGAATAAAAAAAGAAAAGAAGGGTACCTATTGTCCTTTGGAAAGTAGAGGGAATCCCCTTTCCACAGGTTTCTGTGGTTATTGTAGTGAAGGGAATTTCCTTAGTTTTATGACCCAGGTCAGCGTCAGCCTTATCCAACCACTGTGTCTTTAGAGATCTTATACCCATGATAGCCTAAGACAGTTTTCAGTGCCTTATCAAGAGTATCCGTGAAAGACACCAGATTCTTGTGAGATTTAAAAATTCATTTTAGTTTCTTCTAAGTACTAACAAAAGCTTTCTCAGGGCAACAAAATGATTGTTTTGTCTATGGGTTCTTTCCTTTCAATTTTTTTTTTTAAAAGAACTGACTTATTTTTCAAGTGGGTCTTAAAATTTAAGCCTCAATTAATTACATGTAGCTTTCTGCTCCAAGGCTGACCTTGAAGCTCTAACTCAAAGAACATTTGATTTTATTTTCCTGCGGTAGTTCAATAACATTAGACCTGTTGTCCTTCATTTGTCCCTTTTCTTTCATCTCCAGTATCCTGCATATTTCTATTGTCGCTCTGATTACATGCTTTTGTGAGACAATTACTAACTGCGTGGTTGCAGAAAGAATTACAAAACATACCATGAGCTCTCTGTAGGCGATTCTTGCCGATTTATTAGAACAGCTTAATAGTTTAGGAGTTCGTATAGATTGCTTCTTGCTAGTTCAAAAACCGGGTCGGAGAGAGAGAAGGCTTGCGTAGCAAACATTGCCCTTGTATTGTGCCTGAGTAGGGAATCTGATAAGAATGATTTCTTTTCCTTAAAACCAATTAAGCTTTTGCATTTGGAAAAGGCTGAGAAATTAAAGCCTGGTTTATAATCTGTACACAATACAGATAGTGGCACTTCTCTGATTCGATGATTCTGGCAAGCAAATAGGAGAAAGAAAAAAAAAAAAACTACTTTAAATTCCTGTTATGTTAGATGCTGTAGCAGATTTGAATGGTGTTGACCATAATTCTCCATCTGTCTGCCTTAATTAGTTTTTGTATGGTGCATTTAATTGGGTTTCAGTCATTCCTCACAGAGTGCTAATCTGCCTGTAGGTGCGGGTCCTACAGCCCTTCAGTCTTCTCAGTCTCACTCAAAATGGCGGCATTTCTAAAACTCAACTGTTTTCTGAAGATATATATATATTTTTTTAATGTTTTATTGTGAGTTATATGATAGTTTACATGAGAGAACTTTAGCTTTACATTCATTCCATCGTATATCATTTCATTGCCATGGTTCCAATCCCCTCCATGCATCATCTTTCGACCAAAGGGGATATCCTAGAAACCCGTCCTCTACCCTGCCCTCTCCCAACCCCCCCAAGTCTTCGGCCCACAGTCCCTCTCCCTCTGTGGATCCAAAGTCCCCAGCCACTTCATCCTTCCATGTCATCGTCTCTGTCTCCATCTCAGGCATCTCTACTTCTCTGGGTAGGGTCCCGCTCTTGGCTCTTCTCCATTGGTGGTCCCAGAGACCTCTGCTCCTAGCCTGGAGAAATAATCACTCCCTTCCTTGCTACAAAACGTCTACCTTTTGCATTTCTAACCCTGACATTCCGTCCTGATAACCATTATTCACTACAGTATCACTAGTAACCCATCTGTATTTCATTTCATCAGTTCCGCCTAGACAGATTGGATAGTACTCACTGGTGATTCTGCCTTCCTCCATGCCCCCTAGCTCTAGGTTCCCTCTTGAAAGCTTGTAAGCCAGTCACTTCTTGCCTTTGTAGTCCCTCCCTCCCCATTTGGGTATCCAATGTCCAAGCTGCCCTTCTCTGTCTACTCTGTGTGTGGAGGGGGTGGGAATGTTTCTTGCTGTAAGGATTTGTTGCCTCTTTTGAGTCACTGCCTTCGTAGGTATAGGTCATGTTCATCAGATTGAATCAGCTCATTCTTCTTGAAGATATTTTTTTTAATTCCCACAAATCAATTCCATACCCATACCAGATATGTTACGCTAGGATAATCGGATTCGCCATTGAAGCGCCTGGTTCTTGTTGTTGTCTGTCGTACATGGAGTTGGTTCCCACTCATAGTGACCCTTTGTAGGGCTTCTGAGGAGTGGCTGGTTAAGTGTGAACCACTGCCATTGTGGTTAGCAATCCAGTGCGGATCCTACAGCGCCACACCAGGTAGGTAGATATAAGCGTGTGAGTGAATGAGTTTCTTCCCATGGTAATTTCCTTGCCTGCCCCCTGGTTGATGTTTGCAAGTCATCAGCAGAAGCTTCCCAGGAACATGCTACTAGGGCACATGGTTAGCCAATCCACAATTTTGTCTTTCATTTACTGGTGGATGAGTTCTTACTGGTGACCATATTCCTCATATCACCTGAAAATAGATACTTTTTTGACTCTTGGGTCTGAAAAATGTTGATTTTAATTTTAATTTTAAATTCCCAGCATTTCAAAAATGACCAGAACTGTATTTGAAGTCAGAACAGTATCAGAAAATCTCGGTTGTATGGTAAAGACTGTAACAGGGATCCCATCACTGTGGGGCCACAGAGCTGAGGATGATGGAACTTTCTGGACTCTCTCAGTTGTTCTTCTTTGTAGTTGTTATTATGGTCTGCTGTCCAGTCTGTTCCAACTCATATTAACCCTGCATAGGGTTTCCGAGCCTGTACCTCTTCATGGCACATGAGCAGAAAGCCTCATCTTTTTCCTGCAGAGCGGCTGGTAGGTTGGAACTGCCAATCTTGCAGTTAGCAGTCTAGTGCTTATCCTGCAGTGCCACTGAGGCTCCTTCTAGGCCTCAGTGAAGTCTGATCACATAGTAGAAAAAGAGGCTATGACGCCCACCTCCGTAACCCAAAGCCAGATACTACTACTCCTCGCTAGCTTGGGGAAGACATTGTGATTGTCTTTGTTTGGAAGCCCACCAATTGGAGCTAGTCAGTCCTGCTCAAATAGTAAATATTTTAATAGCCATTTAAAACCAAAAGTTTGTAAGAAATCAACAGTGTATAACTTGTTGAGTGTCCACCATAAGCCATGTAATGTGGAATACATTAAAGATGCTAATTGGAAGACTTTAGGAGATGTTTAAAGTTAAATATATTGGTTGGGTGAATTGTTGTTAAGTGCCATCGAGTTGATTCCAACCCATAGCAACCCTGTATAGGGTTTCCAAGGAGCAGCTGGTGAGCTTGAACTGCTGACCTTGCAGTTCAAACGACTTTACAGTCTGACGCATTAATGCACAGTGCCACACCAGGACGAATTAGATGGAGGTAAACACAAGTGTGGCACTGTGGGTTAATGTGTCAGACTGCAAATTTGTTTGAACTGCAAGGTCGACGGTTCAAGCTCACCAGCTGCTCCTTGGAAACCCTATACAGGGTCGCTGTGGGTCGGTATCGACTTGATGGCACTTAACAACAACAACAAGAAACTCAAGGTTGTTGGCCCAGTGGGATAAAGCACTGGACCACAAGGTCTATTTGAACCACAAGGTCGATGGTTCAAACTCACCAGCCACTCCTTGGAAACCCTATACTCAACAGCACTAAACAACAACAAACGCAAGATATAAGGGCCTCTTGGTGGCACAAATGATTTGCACTTGATTGCTAACCTAAAGGTGGGCAGCTTGAATCTACCAAGTGGCACCATGAAGCAAAGTCCTTCGGATCTGTTTCCATAAAGATGACAGCCAAGCAAACCCTGTGGAGCAATTCTACTCTGTCACACATGGGGCCTCCATGAGTTGGAATTGACTCAACAGCAGTGGGGTAGTTAAACACAGACCTAGATCTGCACAATGGAAAGGGATGTTCCACAATGGGTCTTTGCTTTTGGTCCATCTAGTCGGCAGAACAGACTGATTTTACTGTTCTTTTTTTTAGTTTACATGGGAGAACATTAGTTTTACATTCATCCTATCATATATCATTTCATTACCATGGTTACAATCCCTTCCATGCATCATCAACCAACCAAAGGGTGTACCCTGCAAGCCTGCCCCCCGGTTGTCAGCACACAGCCCCTCTCCCTCTCTGGATCTAAAGTCCCCAGCTGCTCCGTTTTTCCATGTCATTGTCTCTGCCTCCATCTCTGGTGTTACTGCTTCTCTGGGTAGGGTCCCACTCTCCGCTCTTCTCCCTTCATGGTCCCAGGACCTCCGCCCCTAGACAGCAATGTTAATCACCCCCTCTTGCTACAAAACGTCTACCTTTACATATCCAACCCTCACAATCAGTCCTGATAACAATGATTCCCTGTTGTATCACAAGAGATCTATCTGCATTTCCTTTCATCAGCCCCGCCTAGACAGATTGGATACCACTCAGTGGAGATTTTACCTTCCTCCACACCCTCTGGATCTAGGTTCCCTCTTGAAAGCTTGTAAGTCAGTCACTTCTCCTTTGTAGCCCCCCCCCCCACTTTGGGTAGCCAGTGTCCAAGTTGTCTATCCCTGTCTACTCTGTGTATGGAGGGCGTAGGAATGATCCTTGCTGTAAAGATTTGTTCCCTCTTTTGAGCTACTGCATCCATAGGTGTAGGTCAAGTTCATCAAATTGTATCAGATTACTCTTTTTTTCCTCTTCTTTCTTCTTCTGGTTGAGCTCTGATCATCCAGTCATTGAAGCCAGGTCAAGTGGGTATTGTCTGCAAGTGTGGTGTTCTTGTGCATCTGCCCTCTCTTCTTATCAGCTGGATGCTTTACTCTCCATTCTAGTCCTCTGTGGCTATGTCACTGACTCTGGGCCCAAGAGTCCCCAGGTCTTGCCACACTGCTGGCCAACCAGGTCTCCACCTGGGTTCACAGGGGTCTATTGAACGTTGTAGGGCTTAGCTCGCAGCCTCTTTGCTGTTTTTCCCTCACTTCCCCTTATCGATGATGAACATGGTCTTCAATCAGAGCGTGTATTCCCATTGAGTCTTAGTCTTGGAAGGGGGTTTGCTCTGAGGGGATGATTTCACTATTCTGATCAACAGGGTTAAGCTCACCTCAGTTACATTCACCGAATTCATACACTTAATGAATTTAAATAGCTTTATTGTTTTTTAAAACAAATAATGCAAAAGTTAGACAACTGATGACATTTACCCTCAAAATTTACTTAATTGCAATCATTTCTTTATGTGTGCTTTCTTTTAACATTGACTGTTTTAAAAGATTTGCAAAAGGTTTTCTTAAATGTTTCCTCTCCATGTGGTCGCTAAACACAAGATGGCAGCTTCAAAATAGATTTTACCTATTTGCTGCACATCTTTGGACTGTGGGTTTCTTCCTGCAATGAAAAAAGATCTCTTTGATTTCTTTTTGTTTTCCAAATAGGCTTTTTGGTGGTTATTCCTTCAGTGGGCAATTTCTTTGACATGGGATATACTGTAAGTTATAAAAACATCTTTGAGGCAAAGATGAGTGATTAATTGGGACTAGGTACAAAGCTGAATTTTTAAAAACCTGAAGTCTATACATTCTGAAAACCAAAATAGAACAAAACCCATTTTAATTGTTGAAGATAGTTGAGCCATTTTTGCCTTGCTTGTTATGGAATGATCTAAATTTCTGTAACTCTTATTTTTATGATCAGATATTTTTTTAAAACACACATACAACAAAACAAAATGTTGCTACCTGAGTGGTCTGTGGTTCTGTCCTGAAAATGAAAAACAATTACATAGTGCAGTCCTTCTTAGTCAGCAAATACAGGATATGGCCATGTGTGTAATTTACGGTGAATGTGTGTGTGCTCTTTGAATAGGTGAAGAAGTCACAGATCTGAAGAGACAAGCCGTTGAAGAAATGATGGATAGAATTAAAAAGGGAGTTCATCTTAGACCAGTTAATCAAACAGCCAGACCGAAGGCCAAGGTATGGAGGGCTAAAGGCCTTTTCTCTCACTCTCTCTTTCTTCTTGCTGTTCTCTCCCCCCCCCCCACCCCGTTTTGTTTTTTTTTTAATGTAAAAACATGAAATATGATGAAAGGTACATCGGGACTGATTGTCAGGAGTGTCGTGTTCCAGGTCATTCCAAGGAGAGCATTTCATGTAGATGGGTGTCAGCAGCTGTCTCCTAAACGAGACCGCCATGAGCACTCCATGATCTGTCGAGGCTCTGAGAATCCGGTTCCATCCTGCTTCCCTTTCCTATGTGTGCCCCATTTAAATAGACCCAATAGTAGAGTTCTTGACATTTTTCTTGAAAAATGTTCTTTTGTTCCTCACTGTAATTGCTATCAACAGGCTGAATCTCTTTCTTCTACTTTTTTCCTTTTCTTCTTCTTCTCTCTCTTACTGTTGAAAGCCAGACTTTATGGTTCTTTCTTACTCTCAGGGTGTCCCTCCTCTTCCTCACCTGCGTGAGTGACCTTAAGTATCACGCCTATTGAGTGCTGATTCCTCTGGGCTTTTCAAGTTACCACTTTGTTGTAGGCAGGCAAGGTGGCAGGTAAGGTAGGTGTGGCTGTGGCATGGGCCTGCGTGGAATTGGGTTGGAAAGAGGGCACAAATACTCCTCCGCTGTAAGAGTAGATTTCCATCTAGTGAAGCTTTGACTAACCATATAGAGAAGCTAAGTTTGGGGGCCCTTCTGGCACAGCTGTTGCAGAGCTGGTGTCTAGTGGGTGGGTGAGGAACAGTGACCATGAGGTTAGGGGCCTGGCATCTCAGCCTAGCCCCTTCTCGGCCCCCCGGCCTTTTCTGCACAAAATGGGCACAGCAGCCCTGAGTCACAGGATCAAATGGAAGGAAGGTCATGAAAGCATTTCCAAACGCAGCACCTAAACAGAACCTTTGAAAAGAGTACCTTTTTTAAAAGAAAAAAAAAAAAAAATTATAACTCTCATGTTTCAACTTTTATGGAAAGAATAAGCAAAATGAAACCATTCTTAGAGGAAAATGCAATGTCATAAAAAAGAAAGAAAAAACATGAGATTCGTTTAGGGGGAAAAAAATGTTGAAAAATTCTTAAATATAAGCAGTGTTCCGTGCTTGCTTTTATTTTCAGAATATCACTTTGTGCTTTATGTCTCTTCCCATGACTCTTCCAACAGTTACTCACTCTTTAATGTCCATTCCAAATCTGGAAACAACTGAACAAGGATCAGTGGACAACTGGGTTTTTCGCTGGTAATCGTTAAACTCTGTAGATAAGCTGCGGAACGTTCCGGTCAATAACCTTTCAGACAAATGGTCATTGCATGCTCAAGCACAAATTTCTCCCGCCGCCACCACC